GATAGAGTTTATACAAAAAAGAAGGATAAATGACTCTTTTATTTACCAGTTTTTAACATAATAAATTGGTTCCCACCATCCTCTGAAGATAACCAATTTTTTTTTTAAACTATCATTATGAACTCTTGGATTTAAATGTATTTGATGGGTTTAAATTATTACTATTATTGAAGCTCAAAGTGTCCCATCTTTGACCTGTGGGACCTCTTCAAGTTGACTCCTGACTCTTTTTGACAGGATCCTAGTGGTTTTTGTTAATTTCCTTGCTATCTGGTATTATAAGATGTTCCAGGTTCATCTTGTAAATTTCCTGACCCAGGCCTGGAATTAGCCAACTCTCCAAGAAGTTCTCATTTCTTTTAGTGAAAAATTGTATTTCAAGATCCAATCTGGGGACTAGTGATGCTCATTGCTACTAAGTTGGTCATAGTTTCTAGCCTTTTCAGTAGATAGACTCGGAGAAGGGAAAAAAACATATAAAGAGAAAAAACATCATTTGAGTTCATATTGAGAATACAGAGTTTTTACGTAATCTCTCTATATTTCATGTGTTATCTTCTTTCTTCCATACCATGCATCTGGTTCTTAAGGACACAGGGAATGACAGAATTAAAATATCTCCTACTCTTTGGTTTTATTGCATATAACAGTCTCAGGATAACAACACAAATACTATAACCAATACAATCGTTGAAAATATTGAGTTTTTTTGAATATGCTCCTCCTATTCTCTTCTATTTTAAAAAATATTGTACTGTTCTACATTATCAGAGCATATAGCCATTACATACCATACTCTCTTCCTCTTAGCTTTATCTAGTTTTAGTTCTACAATTAACTGTTTTTAATGTTCACAGTGGTCCTTACATCAATGTCTCTAGTCATTTTGGTCATCAGAAGCTCATTCTCTAGCACAGTGCTGACCAATAAATGTGTGATGATGTGTTGTTCTGTGTATCTGTGTTGTCCAATATGGCACCCACTAGTGACACGTGACTAGGGAGCACTTGAGATGTGGCTAGTTCAACTGAAAAACTGAAGTGTAAATTTGAGTCAATATTAACTAACTTACATATAAATAGCCCCATGGGACTAGTGGCTTCATATTAGATCACAAAGCTCTAGCAGATTCCTCATGGGAGCAATATTCCTTGAGTTCCTACATAACAAATTGTCTGTGCCCTTTACAGTTGAAAGTTGCTGTTGCTGCAGATAAAATATTTGGCTCACACTTTTGTTCTTTGAGCATCTTCAATATGTTACTCTATTTTCGTCTTGCATAAAGCATTGCTTTTGAAAAGTCTGATGATAATCTAATTTTCTTTCCTTTATAAATCTTATGTTCTTTTTCTCCTTGATCCCCAAAGAAATTTTCTTTTTCTTGCAGGTTCAGAATTTTACTAGAATTTGTCTTGGTGTTGCTTTTTCTGGGTTGATATTCTCAGGTGTGCTCTTTCAAAGGTAGTTTCAAATTTTTTTTATTTCAGGAAAACTTTATTGAATTCTAGTTTTCAGTATGTGTTGTTCCCTTGCTTTGGTTTTCTTCTTCAGGGCTTCCTTTACGTGTATGTTCTAACTTCTTTGCCTATCTTTAGTATTTGCCATTTTCCCTGTAATCTTTTTTGTTTTTTTGTGAGGAAGATTGGCCCTGAGCTAACACTTGTTACCAATCTTCCTCCCTTTGCTTGAGGAAGAGTGACCCTGACCTAACATCTGTGCCTATCTTCCTCTATTTTTTGTCTTTTTTTTTTTTTGAGGAAGATCGGCCCTGAGCTAACATCTGCCCATCCTCCTCTTTTTTTTGCTGAGGAAGACTGGCCCTGGGCTAACATGCCCATCTTCCTCCACTTTATATGGGACGCCTGCCACAGCATGGCCTGACAAGTGGTGCGTTGGTGCGTGCCCAGGATCCGAACCAGCGAATCCCGGGCCATCGCAGCGGAGTGCGCGCACTTAACCACTTGCGCCACCGGGCCACCCCCCAATCTTCCTCTATTTTTTGTATGTGGGTTGCCGCCACAGCGTGACTTGATGAGTAGCACAGGTCCGCGCCTGGGATCCAAACCTGTGAACCCCAGGCTGCTGAAGCAGAGTGCACCAAACTTAACTACTATGCCACCAGGCTGGCCCCACCTGTAATCTTTTTTCTCTTTATTTCGTTTTGATTTTCAAAGTTTTCTTCCCTTTCATCTTCTATTTCTTATTATGGCTTTATTGTGTGTATGGGTACCGGGCACCTTTCAGTCTAGTCTTTTTCCTGAAATGACCTTTTTTTTTGTGTGTGTGAGGAAGATCAGCCCTCAGCTAACATCGGATGCCAATCCTCCTCTTTTTTGCTGAGGAAGATTGGCCCTGGGCTGACATCCGTGCCCATCTTCCTCTACTTTATATGGAACACCACAGCATGGCTTCACAAGTGGTGTGTCGGTGTGCACCTGGGATCTGAACCTGCGAACCCCAGGCCGCCAAAGCAGAGCACGCGCACCTAACTGCTGTGTCACCAGGCTGGCCCCCTGAAATGACTTTTAATTTTATTTCTAATTCTTTCCTGAGTTCTGTCACTTCATTTCCGAGATTTTCTAATTCTGATTTATATTGTTCTTTCATGTCTTGAATGATTTGCTTAAAAAATTTGGCTTGTTTTAAAATAATAGGCCACTGTTTTGATCTATTTTGTAGCCACATCTTTCTGGCATGCTGTCATTATCTGTAGGGATGTTATTCTGCTGTTTATTCTCTTTTTGCTTTTAATAATTTTGTATGAGATTTAACCTAGACACTTTTCTTATTGCTTATTTTATGTAAAGTTAATTTTCCTGAACGTTTATTTATTTATTTATTTATTTTTGTCAGGAAGATCAGCCCTGAGCTAACATCTGCCAATCCTCCTCTTTTTGCTGAGGAAGACTGGCCCTAGGCTAACATCCATGCCCCTCTTCCTCCACTTATATGGGACGCCGCCACAGCATGGCTTGATAAGTGATGCGTCAGTGCGCGCCGAGGATCCAAACTGGCGAACCGTGGGCCACCGCAGCGGAGTGCGCACACCTAACTGCTTGCGCCACCGCGCCGGCCCCCTGAACTTTTAGAATGAGGCAGGATTTAGAAAAGATTTTTTAACTTCACAGAGTTCACTCTTCTGTTGTTTTGGTGTGGTGGTAAAAAAATATGGCAGCTTTCCTGGTTCAGTTCCTCTCCCTCACTTTGATTTAGATTGTCTCTTTCCTTCCTCTCTCTTGTCCCTAACCTGCTCAATTTTGATTCTACTTCCAGTAGTTTCTCCTCAGTGTGAGCCCCTCTCCTAGATGGGAGCCCAGCACCTTCCAACTTCCTTAGGTCATTGGAGTGGCAAATTCTTCTCGTTTTCAGTTTCTGTTTTCAAATGGACTCACCATCCTTTCCAGTGAATAGCTATTGGTTATTTGGGGGTTCTTCTGTCTCAGGTCTGTCAGATAGCCTCCCCTATCATTGTTGCTTCCTTCTACTTCCCTCCACACAGATACTGATACCATCCAGGCCTTGCGGTTGTACATAGTGTGTTCATAACTCTGTATTTTGTGGTTTTAGTGATACCCTATCATCTAGTATTTGGTTTTGCTACCTAGTTGCTCTGTTTTTATTTGACAATTTGGAGACTGAAAAACTATTTTTTTGCTGCCATCTCCCCAGAATCCCTGATTCTTTTTATAGTTTTTTATTTCTTACTGAGATTCTCCATCTGTTTACTCATTATGCTTACATCTTCCTTTAACTCCTTGAGCATATCTATTATAGCTGCCTTAAAGTCCTTGTCTGCTAATTGGAACCATAGGGTTATTTAGGATCTGTTTTAATTGACTATGTTTTTCTTGATTATGGGTCCTATTTTCCTGATTTTTCTCATGTCCAGTGATTTTTTTTAAACAATATTGAAAATTATAAATGATACAATGTAGAGATTCTAGAATTCTGTATGTCCTTCTGAAGAGTGATTTTTATTAACTTGGTTGGATTCAAACTGCAAACTCTGCTCTCAGTAGGAAGCAACTAAAATCTCTGCTCAGTCAATTCAACTTCTAGCTGCTGGTATTCTGTTGAGCCTCCTGGGGTCTCCCCTCAATGCAGTGATCAGCCAAGGATTTTGGAATATTTGATACGTAGATTTTGGAGCTCACTCTCTCTTCCAAGACTTCCCCCCATCTTTCTGGCTGTTCTGCCAGCATTATTCAGCATAATTCTGTCCTCTGACACCTCAAGCCAACAAAGCTGTGACTTTCTGCTGCCCAAGCTGTGTGGATTGGGGAGTGCCCTCAGGCAAAAAGCCGTAACCACTTATATCTTACCCATACAGTTCTTCTTTCAAGGACAGACTCAGGTAGGGCTGGCCCCGTGGCTTAGCAGTTAAGTGCACGTGCTCCGCTGCTGGCGGCCCGGGTTCGGATCCCGGGCGTGCACCGACGCACCGCTTCTCCGGCCACGCTGAGGCTGCGTCCCACCTACAGCAACTAGAAGGATGTGCAGC